ATGGACGGATGGAAGGATGGACCAATGGATAGGTAGGTAGGCATGCAAGTAGGCAGCTAGCTGGGTAGGTAGGTAGGTAGGTAGGTAGGTAGGTAGGTAGGTAGGTAGGTAGGTAGGTAGGTAGGTAGGTATGTACGCACATGTATGTATGTATGTATGTATGTATGTATGTATATGTATATGTATATGTATATGTATATGTATCTGTATATGTATATGTATATGTATATATGTACACACGTATATATATATATACACCCTAAACCCTAAATCCTAAACCCAAAAGCCTAAACCCTACCGGCCCAGCACGAGTAGCAGGCCGAAGCCGCCCTGACTGCGGCACGCGACGAGCTTGGCGCTCTGCCGTCAGAGCTCCGCGGAGCCCACCCGGAACCTTTGAAGAGAGAGGTCTGAGGGTTGTGCGAGTAGTCCGACTATTGTGATGGGGGGGGGTTCCCTATTATGTATAATTATAGTATAATGTACCCCGAAGCCCTACTCGAATTATTAAGGCGCCGATTAGTTACGGTATGCTTAGAATGACCCCCAAAGACCCATGTGAATTATGAAGGCCCTTCGGCGAGGGTGCCTCGGGTCTGAGGGTGTCGATTTCTACAGCTGTAAAGTGTCAGGGTTTACGGTTCTTGGGTTGGGTGTTGGCACTTCTGGATTGAGCGGTTTGGAGTTCAGGGTGCAGAGCTTTCGTCGACTCAAAGTGCGAGGGTTTGTGTTGATTGACCTATAAGGATCTCAGGGCCTATAGAGTATGGGAATTTTGGATTGAGGGTATGGGGCTCTGCGGCTCTGCGGCTTGTAGAGTTCAGGACTTTCGTGTGAGGCTTCGAGTCGAAGTTTCAATCGGGAAATTCGAGCTGTGGGGTTACTTGTCAGAATGATCGTTCTTTAGTCGAGTGACGTTTCCCTTGAACAACGTGCATAAAGGTTGCGGCATTGGTTTCCAGGCTGGGGCGGTTGCGCAGATTTGCCACACGTTTCGGATCGGAAGGCCTCAGGATTTGTCAACGACAGGTTTCAGCTCAGAGTTTCCTGGGCAGTGGTTTGCAGAGGACCATTAGTCACTCGCTGGTTGGTAGCCTGCCCATGACTGGCCGTAAGCCTCCGAGGCAGGCATGGCTTCAGTTGATACCTAAACCCCCAAAAGTAGGTAACATAATGGCCCAAAACCCATAAACGGCTATTATTCTACATACTTTTGGGGTCCAGGTAGCAAAACCCTATAAACGCTGAACCCCGAACCCCTATTACAGCCCCGGCCCTGGCGATTAAGGAAATCTTCACTGCGGTGGACCATGTGCTGAGGGTCGAGTTTGATCTTCTGAAATACTCTCAAGGACTTTTTGAAGAGTCCGTGTCGCATGCAAAGGTGGAAGCCTAGTTTACACAACGCGACGGCTGTTCTATAAGAGTTCCCCGGTCGTGCTCTGATATCGTTTTCGCAGCATCAAACTGCATGTATGAATTTTACTTACTTAACATAGTGCATCTGTTGTTAACGTTGGTGCTAGTGGTGACGGTGTTTATACTGCGGTGGTGATGTTCCAGTGGCTCCGTTTTGCTGCGGTCGCTCCACTTGCACCCGAGTGACTAGTCAAAAATTTTGTGGCAGACAGAGTGGGCTCCGTCTGGCTCGGATAGGCGAGGGTCAAGCTTGAGGCTATGGGTCTCAAGGTTTAAGTGTATGCTTTAGTTGTCGGCTGTGCCGAGCCGACGCGCTTGGGAAACTTAACCTCCATTAATCCCAAGACGAATCTAAAACTGTTCGGTCTTGGGGATTTCTGGCAGCAAATCGGATTCCAACCGTCTGCACCACCAAAATTGTGTTTGGGTGTTCTTTTGTTTGGCTTCGCGTGCTTGTGTGTGTGTGTGTGTGTTTGTGCTATGCGCTCCTGCGTCTGTGTGTAGATAAATAAGTACCAGGTAGGTGGGTAGGTAGATATGTAGCTAGGTATGTCTGGATCGATGGATGTAAAGCATGTAATGTGACGTAATGTAATGTAAGGAAATTCAAATACATGTAGTGTAAAAAACTTTGCTGTGCTGTACTGCACAATCTTGTCATGTAGTGTAATGCCATGTAGTGAAATGCAAAGTAATTGTTTGTGCCTGCATGCATGGATGGAGAGATGGAGAGATGGATAGATGGATGGTAGGCTGGATAGTTGGATTGAAGAAGAGATGGATGGAGGTGCGTACGTGCGTAGGTATGGTAGGATCAGGTAGGCTAGGTAGGTAGGTAGGTAGGTAGGTAGGTAGGTAGGTAGGTAGGTAGGTAGGTAGGTAGGTAGGATTACGTAGGTATGCATTAACATATACATGTTAACGAATGTATGCATGCACGCATGCATGCATGCAGGTATGTATGTACGTACAATGCATGTCTGCAGGCACGTGTCTAGCTGTAGTCACATGTGTCAAGTCAGATAATTAGCGTTGCTCACAACTAGAAACTTGCTACAGCCATGTAATTAAGCAACCAGGGTTTCGTGTTCTGAGTGTGTCATCATGGAGGTTCCACTTTTTGCAGGACCCGCGGCGCTGAACACTGTGCAAACACCAGCTTTTGCACTTAAGTTGCTGTACGCCTAAACTAGAGGTCCCTTGCCATGGGTAAACTAGAGGTCCCTTGTAAATTAGAGGTCCCTTGGGTGATGTCGAAAATGACTGCCAACACTCAGGACATGGCCGACGGACCGTAGTTTGGGCGCATCCGAGTAGACGCAATACCTCCCCATCCCCCGACCCTCAGTTCAATTTCCGTAAACGACTTCCTGCATCCCGAACAGGAAAGCTCCTGAACTCCTCTTTCCAATCTCGAAAGAGTCGCTGACTTCTCCTGCTCACACCCTTTTCTGTCGTCCCCAAGCCCTATTTCGAAGTCTTCTGTTCAGATTGCGGGCTCCACGGAGCTTTTCCGTGTGGATCGAGCCAGGGCCTTTGAACAACTCCAGAGTGCTCAAATTTAATGTTTAATGCCAGGGAATGGGTATGTCTCAGGCTTTGGTTGTTTCAAGTTCGGCTCTGAGTGTCTGGCATGGCTTGCTGCTAGTCCGATCTACACTTCTTCCGCTAACAGGGCTTCAGAAGACTGAACTCTTGAGACATGCCCAGATGAGATGGCAAAGTCCTTAACCCGAACTTCCGGCTTGCGAATTTCCTGCCCGCCACGGCCCGGACGAAGCTATCGGAATTCCCCAGCCCGGCCGGATCGGGAAACACCCGTCGCAGTAATGAATGCTGCAGAACCTAAGTTAATGCCCCTTGCTTCAGATCCTGGCGCCATGTGTAAATATAATATATTAGAATGTAGAACAGATCGATCTACATACATATTTGCATACACATATGTGCTGGAGATGCGATCTGCGAGTGTCAGGAAGGAAGGGAATATCGAAGAGCCCTTCCGAACAGTGCTAAGCAGTGTTGCAGCCACGCTGAATTCAACAGACCACCTTCACCGATGCAGTCCGGGGCGTGAGGCACCGAAAGAGCCTCTTTTCAATCTCCCCTGAAGACGGACAAGTTCCATTGTACAGAGTTGCGCCAGCAGGGTAGCAGTCCTCAGATACTCCTACCCCAACATAAGGAAGCCGCGCACCCGATGCTGCAGTCAACGACGTGCATCCCTGAAGCCACTAAGCCCCGCACACTGAATGAGCCAATGGGAAAGAGCCCATCAGGAGAAGAGTGCAAACCTGCAAAACTTAATTCGTGACCGTTGAAGCTCAAACCCCTAAGCTCAGACTCACGCTTTAGTCAACAAAGACACGCCCGAAGGATGACTGAGGACCTGCCATCGCCCGGATCAAAGGCAGCAGCAGCTTGCGACGCATGTGGCTCCAAAGAGCAGGCCACGAAAAGGAGCTCATTTGGGAGTTTCCGAAAATTAGGGTACCCTATTTTGGGGCCCTTATATAATAAGGATCCTACTATTTAGGGTGCTATATTAGGGTCCCCTATTTTCGGAAACCCCCATTTGCTGAGGCTGAGACCTCCGTTTGCCCAAGTAGCCGGCTCCAAGCATACACACTGCCAAATACCCAGGCAGTTCTTCATCTTTTTGGGGTTCTGTGAATATCAACGACAGCAGCACATCGGCATGCAATGATAAACAATGATAATTCTTCCGTGTAGCTTGCGATTCATCCTAGAACCCTTCTAACGCAGACATGGCACCCGTAATAGCTGAAGTCATCAACCCTGAATCCTCAAGCCCTGCAGCAAGAACCCTCAAACTCTAAACCCTCTGCCGTGAGACAGTTTTGAGTTTTGAGTTATATACTTAAACCCGGCCACTGGCAAAGCATGGTGCATGGTGCTTTCGAAGAGCCAGACCAGGTCCATGTAAATCGACCATAGCCCTACAGTCCCCAAAGAAGCTCGAAACCCATGGCCCTCTTAACGAATTCCTTCGTTCGCAACCCAAGGCTTTCATGGCTTCACTGCCGCGGACATGGAGAAGAAATTCCAGGTCGGGGCCCGCGAGTAATTCATGCACAAGGTCGAAACAAATACCATAGTAGTTAGTAGAAGATGTTCGAACAGATGCGTATTTACTTGGGGTGCAATATGGTTTATACATTGTATGCACCTGCATATACACATACAGATGCAGATGCATGTGCATATATATATATAGTTATGTATACATATACAGATATACACATACATGCATACACATGTATGTGTGTGGGTACTTATATGCATGCATATACATGTAGGACCATACAAAAAGGGACACTCTAACAGCGTACCCTTGTAGTCCCTCAATGCTTGTACTATGATATGCCCCGAAACCTTATTCCACCTGATTCAGGCCCCTTCATCAGTTCATGGGGTTAAGGTGAACTTTTAGGGGCTCAGTGTCTCAGGCTCTAGGTGCTTGGCTGCCAGCTCGGAGCCGTTGTTGAAGCCGTTGTGATGCCATGTGCTCACATGTCCCGCTGTCTCGTCCTGCCAGATCAGATATCCCGTGACTGAGGCAAGTCCTGTGACATACATCGTCGTGATTCTAAGGCTGAAGCATCACCCGTTTTTGGAAAAACCCCGTGGATCCGTTGGTCTTGACTGATATTGTGCCGCAGGTGTCCGCAGGGTCTACGTCTGTCGGCTTTGTCAACCGTCTCCTCATGCTCAGCAATCCACCGCGGCCGTGTGTCTACCTCTTTTCCCGCTGCGTTTCGCTGAGGTTTGCGGTTGGTATCAGCTGTTGTGCCTTTAGGTTTGCTTCCTCTCCACTTGCTTGTGATTCCTCCTGTGGCTTACGAAATCTTACGAATATGCACATGGATGCACATGGCTGCGTGCATGCATGCACGCATGGCTGCGGTGTATGTACTGTGCATATGCATGTAGCGGATGTGGCATTTAGGTATATACATATATATGCATGTAAATGTACTTCATTGATGTTCAATGTGATATAATACTGTCACGTAGCAAGTATAGACGTACATGAGATGTAATGTGATTTAGTGTCGTCTAGTGTCGTGTAAGTAAAGATGTATATATATGTATATATATATATATGTGTATGTTGTATTAGCGTGTATGCGTATGTAAGCATGCATGGATGTGTGGGTGTATGTATCTATATGCATGCACACACATCAAGAAGTCTTGTTCGGCATGTTTGCTTGCTATATGCTTGCATACATATGTACGTACATACAGAGGCAAACAGAGAGACAGACAGACCAGACCGGACCAGACCGACAGAGAGACAGACAGACCTTGCACGGGGAGAAGAGGGAGACCGAGAGAGGAGAGAGAGAGAGAGTGAG